AACTGTGTGGAGAAACTCTTGGCATAAACATTGTAGTCCGTAAAGCTTGAGTCATATCACAGCGGGAAAATAAAATCAACGTCTTGGCAGAGATGATGTCAGAAGAATCGATTGGCCTGGTTTTCCAAAACATACACTAACTTGCAAACTCTACGATTAGGATTGAAAAAGACCTGAACAAAGACAGACAACGGCATAGAAAAGCTCTTCTTTTAATAAGGAAAAAAATTTTCTCAATAGATAGTTCGCATAAGGTGCTCGTTCGAGATGATAGAATACGCATTGGAAACAAGTGGTGCAAATGGAGCAAAAATGGAATCCTAAAGTGTGGCAATGAGGAGGCGACTACTACTCTCTAATCTATGTATGGAAACAAACTTGAAAACCTTAATCTTAACTTATTAAGCATCATGAATGAGCTAGATCAAAACAACCTTATGGCAAAAAACTGAAGAACGAATACAGCACATTAACAACAACTACAGATGACGCTCCATCAACATCACGAAATACAGTATTTACATACAATCTTTTTAAGCTTTAAATAACATTTTGGAATATACACGGTATTGCAAATCTTTTTAATGAACCAAAAATTGCTGACTCGCAGATCATATCTGTCTATGAAACCTGGTCAACAAAACTTTTCAATACTAGCCTTAGAAGTCCATTGGTAAAGCTAGTGGTGGTATTGTATCTTTAGTTAAAAAAAAATTAGCAAAAAGTTGCGAAATAAGCAAAAGAAATTTGTGGATTTTTAAGTTTTATTGTATTAATAATTTTAATTTTATTTTAGGTTCATTGTACATTAAACCACATTATGATATAAATATTGCTTTAGAATTGCTTCAACCATTAATCGATGAAATAATTAAAAAATATGCAGGGATCCCCTTAATAATAGGTGGTGACTTCAACGCTAAAGTGGGTGAAGAGAGTGCTCAAGAATTCTTATCTGAAATTAGTTCGATTTTCATATCTAAAAGAAGCTCTCTCGATTTAGTCTTGAATACGCGTGGTAAAAATATATTAGAATTCATAGAAAATAATGGCTTTATCATGCTTAACGATTGCACAGACGGTGACATCCCAGCAGGTTTAACATTTTCAAACAAAAATGGTAACAGTGTTATTGATTTTATCTTGGTCAACGTCGCTGCAATTCCATTTATAAAAAGCCTAGAAGTACAAGCACTTGCTTCTGGCTCAGACCATTTCCCGGTAACCTTAAAACATGAATTCCCTACCGGCACTAGCAATATAAATTGTACAAATGTAACTTCTTGTAAGCAAACCAGATTGAAATGGGATATAAGTCTGATATTTTTACAATGCACATGAACTGCTGTCTTGAATCAATGAACATGAATCATCACTTCTCTTCTTTATCCAATGACCAACAAAATGATCTAATTATAATCTCTATACAAAAATCCGCTCAAGCATCAGAAATGGTTATTGCTAAGTCCTTTATGCCTCTTTACTATACTTCTTCTCTTTATTATACTTCTAAGCCATGGTTTGACTCAGAGCTACGGGCCTCAAAGAAAAATCTAAATCATGCCCTAAAAAAGTGCAAACGACAAAGCTTTTTATCTAAAACTAAAGCGGTATACATAAATTTAAAAGCTAATTACAAAAAAATGCTGTTTGAAAAAAGAACGGAATATGAAATTAAGGTCAAAAACAAATTCTTTAACGTAAAAAGTTCGAAAGACTTTTGGAATCTTATTAAATCGTACAATAGAAAACCTTTTGTCAACAACCCCATACAAAATTCTGTTTGGCAAAGCTTCTACGAGCAAATTTAACTACCTCGTCCTACCATTGAACTTATACTGTCTGAAAACTTTATCGAAGCGCTGGATTCGGAAATAACAATAATTGAAATAAAAACAGCAATAAATAAAATCAAAATCAGTAAGGCTCCAGGCGAAAATGCGATTACGGCAGAGTTCTTTAAGAATTTATCTAGTCAACGGATTTATGTCCTACAGTCTGTATTCAATAATATTCTCTTAATTGGAAGCACATCAGCTTCTTGGTCATAGTCCATACTTATTATGTTACACAAAAAAGGTGATATAAACTCACCCGAAAATTATAGAGGCATTGCTCTATTCAATATTATCTTAAAATTTTTTACCCATATTCTGCATGATCGCCTCTTGCCATGGGCGGAACAATACAATAAAATTCCTGAGTCGCAAAATGGGTTTAGAAAAAAAAGATCATGTACTGATAATATTTTTACTCTTCAAACAGCAATTCAAATACATCTACGTCTAAAAAGCAACTCTGCTTACGGACTTTTTATTGATTTCAAAAGGGTATTTGATTCTATTGACCAGATGCTGCTCTGGCAAAAACTTCATTCGCAAGATATAAGTTCGCGCTTAATTAAAATTCTCCAGCCTATTAACGACAAGGCTTTCTTCGTGATCAAACTTCAACAAAAAGACTCCGATCAAATCTTTGTTACCGAGGACGTTCTCCTAGGGGAAATTCTCAACCCTCTCCTTTTCATATTGTTTATTGCTGATCTTGAGAAAGAATTAAGGAATGCAAATATTGAAGGGATCAATATTAATGGTCTACATGATATTTTGATGCTGCTTTTTGCAGATGACGCCGATGTTCTAGCCAGGACTCCTATTATTTTACGAAAAAATCTATTAGCACTTGAAAGCTACTGCGAAAAAAACAAACTTGTAAACACGGAAAAAACTCAAATTGTCCACTTTAGAAGAGGGGGAAGGCCAATAGCAGAAAATTTCTTTTACAAATGTCAAAAAATTTCTGTCGTGAAGTCCTACACATACTTAGGAGTAAATTTCTTAAGCTCCACATTAGGCAAATGTGCAGCGGAATCTGACATAAGAAAAGGGAAAATGGCCCTCGGTACGGCAGTACAAACTATAAGTAAATTTAAATCAGATTCTTGGGAAGGTCGGGCTAAACTATTCGACTGTACTATATCTGTAACACTTTTATATGCATCAGAAGTGTGGGATCTACGTTACTGTGATTCACTAGAAATCGTTCAATCAACGTACTACAAACGTTTGTTAGCACTCCCCCAAGCTACAAACAATGCAGCACTTAGACTTGAACTATGCCTTGTAAAAATTTCATATAGAGTTTTCAAACGCGCAATCGATTTCATTATACGAATTCTTCAAATAGACCAATCAAGATACCCCAAACAATGTCTCCTTCGTCTCATTTACCTACACGTAAATAATTCTTCTATAAGTGAATTTAATTGGGTTACACAATTTAATGAATTTCTTAAAGTTGTAAATATGACAAACTTGTGGGAAACACCGACTGCAGCAACTTGGATTGATAACCGAACTACGGCACTATCATAGATATCTGAAATTCAAAGACATTCTAAAGTCCACTAACTGATAATCCACGAATTGCAATATATTAAGAGCTCTGGATGACAAACCTGCCTGTTACCTCTTTAATCGTAAGCAATTTTTTATAGCAAAGGTTATCCCCCTATTGCGGTTGTCATCAACTCACTGCACTCGTTTTTGTATTAAAGGGCAAATTCACAGACTCGAAATCAAGAACCTTTGTACACTTTGTAATTTACTAACTGAAGAAACGTTGAAGCACTTTATGTTTGAGTGGCTTATTTACTCCTCAGTACGAGATCACCATCTTAGTTTCTTGCTTACAGTCTTCAGAGACAATAAATCTCTAATTTTCAACTGCACTGATCCGCAATCATCTAAAGCAATATTCACATATATATTAAATAGTCTTAAAATCAGATCATTTATTATAAACGAATAAGATTTTGCAAAAATTTTTTTCTAGATATATATACATATATAATTATAATTATTTCCCTACTATTTTTCTAACTCAACATTTTTTGTTTTTATCGCTTACTTTTTAAACCTAATTAGTAATAAGTTTAATTTAATTAATAATAAGTATACATCAAACCTCCTTTTGTTACATATATAAGTTCAGAAGCAGAAGTAAATAAATGTTGAATTGAATTGATATATATCTCTTACCCAATTCCTCCACATCTTCCTTTCCTCCCCCCCCTTCATCGCCCCTAACCTCCTTCACCCACTTCCCGACTCATGTAATCGTCTTGTGTATCCTTTCATATTTATCTGCCTACATGTCCCGGCGGGCTATAACAACAACAACATATTTTAAGTATGTCATGTTGAATATTCATTTATATAGAAACATTCCTTTCATGTGACTATTTCTTCGTATGGAAATATTCATTTGTAGATGAATAATTCTTTATTTAGAAATATTCCAATGTAATTATTTCTTGTGCACCGTGCGCTAATTTTAACTTGATTCCTTAGATGCAGTATTTTAGAAATTATATTTGAAGTCCGTTTAATAAATAATTCACGCGTCATATATGCCTAATAAGTTGAACTTTTTGGTAGCGTATCAATTTTGCTTACCGCTGTTTTTGAGATGGTTTTGTTTATTTTGCTGTTCGGTAGACAAAAATTTCAATTAAAAAATAAATCAAAACTTTTGTTGTTGCAATTCAGTACTGTTCGAAGCCACTCTATTAAATACAAAAGTTTCTAAATTCAATTATATTATAACACAAATAAATAAAAATTAAAAAAAAATATTTAATTTCGTCAGACTTGTTCGAAATAAAATATAATTAATTCAAATATTCTACAGCTGATTTATGATTTCATTCTAATATAACACAGCAAGTGAATTTGTTTATGAACTTTCACAGCAAATTAATAAAACGCTAACTTTGAACATACAAGTAAAGTACGTCTTTAAATCAATTGGCTAATGAACACTGACTCTGAGCTTCAAATTTGGCAGGCCAGGAGTTTAGCCCTTGATACTTGCAGTCTCAAAAACTGCAAGCTATATGGTTAGCTAAAATATTCAATTAAAAAATACATTAAAACTTTTGTTGTTTCAATTCAATACTGTTTGGAACCTTCTTGATAAATATTTGTAACATGTTTATTATTATTATAATTGTTTATTTTCTAAACTCATATTAAATATAGTTAAATAATTAGAGTGTATAAAAAAATATACAGTTTTTATTATTATTATACTGTTTGCCAAAAAGTTTCAAAACAAAAATATTAATAGTTAAAAATTGTTTAAATTAAAACTTTTTGATCTAAATTAAATAATTGAATGCCTGGTATGGAAATTATATTGGATGCGAAAAAGCACTTCACTTTTGTCCATTAAGAATATTCATATCATATAAAATTATAAAAATTTGCACTTTCTTTTCTTTGATGGTTCTGGGGGTTCCAAAGCAGCTAAAATAGCTTCATCAAATACGTTTTTTAGTCCTTTCTGCAATTTATTTTATTATTAATATATTAATAAATTATACATCAGATATTCTTTTAATTAGCTCTTACTTGTGTTAAGGCTGAGCATTCGACATACTTTACAGCTTTTAGTTCTTTAGCCAATTTTTCACCTTGTTCCATTGTGATTGGCTTTTGCTTATTTTTAGCAAGTTTCTCTAAAGTGCTACTTTCATCGCGTAGATCAATTTGTGTTCCAACTAAAAGAAATGGCGTTTTTTGACAGTGATGTGTAATTTCTGGTACCCACTATATTAACAGAAAAGAACAGATCTTAAAATTTTACAATAATGAGAAATTTTACAATTTTTTACCTTTTCTTTAACATTTTCAAAAGAACTTGGGCTTACAACTGAAAAGCATACTAAAAACACATCTGTTTGTGGGTATGACAGAGGACGCAAACGGTCATAATCTTCTTGGCCAGCAGTATCAAACAACCCCAATGTATATGGTTCACCTCCAATCATAACGGTAACAGCGTAATTGTCAAATACCGTTGGTACATATTCCGAAGGAAATTTATTGGTAGTGTATGATATAAGAAGACACGTTTTGCCGACTGCGCCATCACCTACAACAACGCATTTAATGGTTTGCATACTGTTTATTTGTCTGAAAAACAAATATTTGATTATATTAAACACCAAGAAATTACAAAATTAATTTACATAAAAAAAATTATGTATTTAATCTACATAGGTAATACACTCTCCAAATAAAATTTTATAATTGTGAAACAAACTGATCTATATGTGTATTCATGACTGCACATCTATATATAATTACGCTACAAAAAAGTTTGTGTTCCCTTTTTAACTGTGTTGCCGTTGACATAAATGGATAAAATTTATACCGTTGGAAAGGTGAAGATGTGGAGAAGTGCACAACATTATTTTTTCAAATGTACATTAACGGAAACACAGGTAAAAATACGTTGGCGCAAATTTAGCGACCACAACAACAAAATACATGTGTTTTTGAATGTTTTTTGTTTTTGTAGCGAATTGTGTATTGTTTACGATGGATTTGTGTGTGCGATTTTTTTCCACTTTTCTGTTTGGACTTTCCGTGTTGCAAAACTGAATTCTGTTACAATTACATTTTTAATGCACATTAAATTTCAAGTATTGTTTGTGAAAAAAAAACACATTGAAGTGGAAATACCCTTTGATATCATTCGTTTTATTTTGGTAGGTTTGAAATTTTTAGATTAATTTCAAGTGCATTGTGTGATAGTTAAATTTTTTACCTTTTCTTCCAAGGCTAATTAGTTGGTTGAATCGACATTAACAATACTTCAAATCAAGAGATAAAAAAAAGTCCAAAAATTATTTCGACAAGATTCGAAGCTACAATTCGGCCTATGCTATGGTCAGTTCGGAAGCTAATATTTCTGACACAGTTTTAAGAGCAGGACCCATGGTCACAGTATCTGATCGTACGCCAAATTATGCCCAGTTGTATATATACGATGTTGATACGGCTGTTCAATGTAAAATGCGAGCGCAATCAAATAAAACTTCTATTGAATTTGATAGAATTAATCTATTTATTCGTTCATTTCGTACAATGAAAGAACATTGTGATAGAGTATGCAATGCACAGAAAGAGATTTGTATGGCAATTACCGTGAATCGTGATACAGATATACGAAGATATAATGGTGCAATTCGGACTGATGTTGCGGTTATATTTACGACTGTAGATGGTGAAGCACCATTTGAGAGAAATATGATATCTTTTCCAAAAACAAATGGTGTGGTTAAGAATGTATCAGTATTACATTCTGCTTTGGATCCATTGGCATATCCTTTACTATTCCCAAATGGAGATTTTGGTTGGCACGTTAAAGTGCAACAGAACAAATCAAGTAGGAGATGGTAGCTTAGGTCGTAAAGCAATTTTACCCTCATCCTTCACTGGGTCTCCAAGAAACATGTAATTAGATGCAATGCAAATTGTTCAGCATTTCGGCAAGCCATCGCTTTTTGTTACAATGACTTGCAATCCGAATTGGCCGGAGATTGTATATAATATCGATACTAATGAATCATCTTATTTTTGACCTGAAATAGTTGTGCGTGCATTTAAAACGAAGTTAAAAGAACTCATATCTGACTTTTGGAATAGATCTGTTTTTATCAAAGTTGAGGTTCTTATATATAGGTATAATCGAATTTCAAAAAAGAGGTTTGCCTCATGTTTACATTTTGATAACTTTATATGAAAATGACAAATGTCTATTAGCTTTCTTTCTCTTGAATCAAAGTGATCTATCTGCTAATCAATATACGTGTACAGAAATTCCATTGCATTAAGTTGAGGTTGATAGTAGAAAATCTTGGAATTAAAGACAACGAGGAGGAGATAAAATTATTACTCGAATGTATGTGGTGCCTCATATTAAGATGCGCGTACATATAATGGAATTGTTTATAGCACATTTATCGAAGCATGTCATGCTAGGGGAATTGCGTCCAACGATAATGAGTGGAGAGTTTGTCTCAATGAAGCTAAGACATTTAATTCAGCAAAACAAATGCGTAATTTGTTTGCGATTATTTGTGCCTTAAATATTTCAGCAAATGCATTAGCGCTTTCGGTGGAATTTAAAGATAATTTAAGCGAAAATTTCGTTAGAGATGGTTGCAGTGTAGATGTTTCTTTCAATAGAGCATTCTTGAAAATCGAGGATATTTCGTTAACACATAATGTTACATGTGCTTTATAATAGTGCAATAATGTGTGATGCTATTGATAAAGTTATTCGTGAAATTCAGTATCACGATACAGGATCAAATGTGTTTTTTTTGACAGCCCATGTAGGTTGTGGGAAAACATGCACACAAACGGTTATAATTCGTAAATAAAATTCCCTTAATCTTTGATGTATTTCGTGTGCATTTAGTGGAATTGCTTCCACATTATTGAAATTAATGCGATAGTTTTGTTAATTCGAAATTTAAATACGAAGCAAGCTTTAGTGAATGGGATGAGAATGCGAGTCAAAACAATGCATAATAACACAACAGATTAGACACAACACAATAGAATAGATTGTGTTTACTAAAGTTGCTCGCGAAAAACGTATTTTGATTCCACGCATCACTTAACGTATTCAGGAACTGCAATGCCATTTCATTTTCGACGAACACAGTTTCCAGTCATCGCCGCATTTGTTATGTTAATTAACAAATCCCAAGGACAGACATTTTATAGAGTTAGAATATTTTTGAGGAAACCTGTTTTCTCTCATGGACAACTTTACGTTGCAGCCAGTAGAGTTAGATCATTTGAAGGACTTAAATTTTATGTCAGTAATGAAGGTGAACAATGTCATTTGGCTTATGATGAAAGGGAGTTTACGAAAAATATTGTTTACACTGAAGTTTTGAGAACTTTGTAATATAAAATATAGAATTATTATTAAAGTTTTAAAGTTTTTCAATATTTCAATTTTTTCATACGTTCATTTTCCAATTTCAATTCTGTTTCTTGCCTTCACTGCATACAGCGATATGATTTCGTGGTGGCAGAGTATAGGAATTTGTTTGACAATTTATGACAGGAGCAAGATGTTGTGCAAAGTCGCATTGTCGAAATTGTGACTTCATTAAAGAATAAACGCGATGAATTGAAAATTGAACGCAATTCAGTGAATAATAACCGCAATCAATTGAAGATGCTGTTCTACGCTGTTTGAATTGCTGATTCCTATGCCGATAGCTCTCCGATATCACCTGAAGAACAAATGTACGCAGCAGAAGTTAAGATAATTTCTTTGTTGAAAAGATTTCAAAATGGAACATCAGTTCGAGACTTAATCGGTATTTCATTCAAATTTATCAACATTTTATACTAATTATTTTGGCGTCCTTTCGCAGGTGCATACGTGGTCACATATGAATACAAATTTAAATTGATCGATTTCACTCCATTGTTCATTCAAGGAAAAATTAAGCCAAAACCAGAAACAGAACAAATGATTTTGCACTATAAATTTTAATTTATTTTTGTAAATTCTTTTCTACACTTTCTTTAGATTTTGTTCACATTTTCTTCAAATTTTTCAATAAAATTTAAATACTATTAATATTGTTTATAAATTGTATTTTCTATTGGTCGAATTCCGACCACTGGCGACCCTAGTAATATATAATAACATTAGAATTAATTAACATAATTTTTCAAAAGGTGGAAAAAAACAATGAACGAATTTTAAATAAATATGACTTTCCAAATCCAGCGATTCATAATATTTTATAATTTGAAACAATACAACAAAACAAATACAATCAGGAAAACTAAATTCACAAAAGCATTGTATTATCTCTTAATATTAAAAACAAATATAATGAACATAAAATACAACAAACATGCTATACTGAAATTCTAAATCAAGAATTGGTATAATAGATTAATACAAAGGAGTTTATCAAATAAAATAAAGAGATGGATTTAACATTTAGGACGTGTGCGAGTTAGGCTAAGTTGATGCTACACCAAATGGAAGATTTTTTGGGATTTTTTGCACTGCACACATTTAGCCATTTATTAACACGTATCGACACATCACTACATTATCGGCACAACTTAGTATTTCCCTCATTTAGAACGCAACTTAGCCTAACTCGCACACGACCTTAGTATGTCAAAAATGAGTTCACACATATATATATTTAAATATTATTTTGTGAATATAAAAATAAAAAAATTTTCAAAAAAAAAAAAATAAAAAAAATTTTCGAAAAAAAAAAATAAAATGAAATACATAACCATAAAAAAAAACCAAATATATAACAAAACGAAAAAAAAAGAAATACAACCCACATCCTAACTATATACGCTTTCAGTAATTATGGTGATGAAATTTAAAATGTAGCTTTTGCTTACAAAAACTCAAATCTATTCGAAATTGTTATCAAATCAAAACCAGCAAAATATTATTGGGTAGCCTTATATAAGTGGAATCCCTATTTTTCTGTTTGAAATGAACCCTCAAATTGTAACACATATTTCTTAAAATTTAACAGGAAAAGTAATATTGCGGTAAATAACATAAATTGTAACACGGTACAATTTATGACTAGTAAGAGATTATAACATTGTCTCAGTACTTAGCAAGCTGTAAAAAGAATATAGTAGTGGACAAGGAATACTTTACAATATTTTGCGCAAAACGCATTAAATTTCTACTAAAAACTCTTGATAAGTGTTTGCTCCGCGTTATGGACCGATCGCCCTGTTATATAAAAAACAACAATATATTCTTCCCTGAGTTTTAAAGTATAAATCCTGATCAAAATACCTCGGTCTTTTTTTTATATTTTCGTTTTTTTTATATGCTGTGGCTGTGGGCTTAACGTCAATTTTGTACTTTGGCTCTAATCCACTCTCGCATTTAAGTGAATTTAAAATATTAAAAGTAGTCCACAAATATAAGCAAAATAATTCTGTTAGCTTCGACATACTTTTTACCCAAGTGGCGGCTATAACACATTCAACGGATGAGTCCAGTATAAATGTATTTGCGTTTAAATTCTATTGTATTGTAGTATTATTTCTTTGTCCTATTAAATCAAATTAAATACATTTGATGGTATATCATAAAA